CCCCAGTCGGGGGTGTGCAGGAGGCAGTTGACCAATGACTCTCTCATCATTGATGTTTCTCCCCCTCTCCCGTCCTCTCTCTGAAATCAATAAAGATATACATTTTTTTAAAAAAAAGACTGATATTTTTCTTACTGTTCTAGCCAAAGAATGATGTTTAGGTTCAGGCACTTTAAATTCCATGGAAAACATTAACAACTTATATAGTTCTTTTAAAATAATGAAGATTTTGCTAGCAGTAAGGAAGACAACTCTTAAGACTGAAAGTAGCCGAGTATCAACCCAGAATTATACAAAGTACCAATAGTTCCCCAAATTTATTACTTAGCCTTTTAATTATATTAGGTTCTTTGTGTGGTACAACCCTGGGGAGATGGGAGATTTTCATAAATACCTAGTTTCTTTCTCCATTATTCAGTGTGGAGTCACATTATATATGCATTTAATTACATTCATTCAACTATCTGTGCTGCAGGAGAAAAAAAAAAAGAAGAGAGAAAAATGCTTTAAATAATGGTGGCAGGATGCCTGCCTTCCATCCTTGCACCAGAGTAAGCATGCAATGGAGAGGAAATGTGCTGTTCTTCAGCCAATCTAAAGACCTAATCACCTGTCCAATGGTATCCCACACAGCTGATTATGATCCACTTCACTAAAAGAGTAACCTGTTCTAAAAGATGGAGAAAAAACTGGCAGCTGGAATTGAAAAACAATATATCAGTTAACTATTTTTTCAAACTGGTGTCTTCCTAAAGGATTTTTTCAAGGGTAATTTTGACAAGATTTTTTCCTTAAGTGAGAATTTAGGCCCAAAGCCCCCAAAGAAAAGGTGATTTCACTTTACTCAGCTCTTTAGGTCAGGAAAAAAACAGGAACCAAACCACTTGTCAGTTATATCAAAGTAAGTTAATAACTAATGTATTTTTCAACCTGTTGCACAAAAATAGAAAAAGAAATAGAACAGGAATATGTATGTGGGAACTATTCCATGACTTATTTTTTAAAAACTAAAAATGTAATAGAAGTCTGTCAAGTAATCAAACGCAACCCTTAAAAGTTGATCTTCAGTAGGAAAAAATAAAACACAAACACATAGAGTTTTGAGATATGCCATTACTAGAGTACAAAATAAACGCAAAGGTGAAAAGAATACCTAACTAAAAGGAAGCTTCTAACCCCAGATACTTTTTTTATTTTTAAATATGTTTTTATTGATTTCAGAGAGAGGAAGGGAGAGACAGAGAGACAAAAACATAAATGAGTCATTGATTGGTGGCCTCCTGCACGCCCCTTCCTGGGGATCGAGCCCGAAACCCAGGCATGTGCTCTGACCAGGAATTGAACTGTGACCTCCTGGTTCAAAGGTTGACACTCAACCACTGAGCCATGCCGGCCAGGTCCCAGATACTTTAATAGTATCACTTACCTCTCCAGATATCAGTTTCCTTTTCTGTAAAAAGAAAGGACTAGTCTATGACCATTTAGCATTATTGTTTTCCAGTCTCATACCTCTTTATTTCAATGCCCAACTCACAAATTCCTTTGTGAAAAACTAAGAAAAACTAAATAGGAGTCAATTAATCTAGCTTGCTATCACTGAGGTAGAACTGTCTTTTATATAACAGTTATAAATATTTTTATTTAAAGTTTCTGAGAAAGAGTCTACAGACATCAGCAAGTTCCACATTATATAATGAGGAAATTCTACTTTACACAGTTAACTCACTTTTCCCAGAAATTTAATTTCTCACCTAACTAGTATCTGACTATCAACAGATCATTTAAAAGCAAGATCCACAGGGAATAAGTGAAAGTCAACAAAAGAGAGGAATTTTGATTAAGAGATTAATTACACCTCAATTTACCCCATCTCACCCACAGACTTCAAACACAGGGTACTTCTTGCATTCTCAGTTCATACTAGTATTAGTGGCTTTGGTGATAGGAAACAGTAAAAAATACAGTTTCACCTGTACCTTGAAAGGAGCATGCCTCAGAAGAGCTCTGTTTCCATAGGTCTAATATGGCCTTTCTTTGGGGAGACAGCTTGTGATACATAAGTCCTTTTTTTAATTTGGCAGTCTTAAAGTTTGCTATTTGAGTTAATGTTTTACTATCTTAGACCTTGCAAAGGCCCCAATATGAGCCTCTGGGTCAAAGATGTTACTAGATTTGGTGTTGGTATAGTTCTCTCTGGAGAACTGTTCTATGAAAACTTCACCAATCTCCATCCTCAACTTTCCTCATTCTCAGACATTTGATTAACTTAACAGTTTTCCCTTTCCTTCATTCCACTTTTTTCCCTTCTTACTGATTACCATAAAATAATTTTTTAACCCATAACAGGGATCATTTTTTCCAATTACCATTTTTCATGACATCTCACATTACATCAATTTTTAATCTTACTAATACAAATGTTTTTAACTCATAACTTTTATAATTACTAATTACCATTAACTTCAGAACATTCTGCCTTATAAATACCACCTGTTTTTCTCGATTCAATATGCCAGAACCTTACACTTTTTTACCTAAATCTTGAAATATGTGCCCCAATTCTGATCCTCTCTTATTTCTTTACTCTCAAAATATGAAGATTATTACAAGTCAAGTCAGGCTCTAATAATTATTTCCTTGCCTCTTGCATGTTTCCAGGACAAGCCAGGTGAGTTAATTAGAACATGGTTTTGATGATTACAGATTTATGCTCTGCAGGCCCATTAATTTCACTTCACACGGACAAACTATGTTCCAAAACCAAAGACTAAAGCCCATCAGCTATATCTTGGATCCAGATTTAACCAGAGGAGCTATATGATGCATTCAGAATATCGCTGGAACAAACATTCTGATGATGTATCATATCAGGTAGATGTCAGACACTACATATCCTCCTTTAGCTTACCACTGTGCATTGTTTTAAGAATTTTAAGAGTGGTGTCTTTAATAAGCGATAAGCTGGTATGCTAACTCCTAATCAACTTATGATCCCTTCACAAGGTCTCCCCCTTAGTACTTATATAGTTAGTTTAGGTTACCAAGTATACTCATGAACAGAATCCAACTTTAGATAAACCAAGTAATCAAGATCATTTTGAAATTCTATTTCTGTCTTCCATGATTTTAAAAATTACAACCACCTTGTTGTCATTTCCAGCTTAAAGTTTTTATTTCCACCATCACCCAGACCATTGGGAAAAAATACAGGATAAAGACAAAGTTTCACAGGATGCCCCCGTATCACTGATCATAGCCCATCTCCTAGAACTGCTATTAATCTTAGGAATAAAGTATATTCACATTTTAAAACCTTTTATTCACAGTAGTTGCAAAACCACCATGCTATATAAGCACAGCTTGATTCAGTAAATGGAATGGAAGAGTGAAAGGAACTATTTATTATGTGACAGGAAGAGTGTTACTTTCTTTACATATGTCCTCAGCTAATCCTCAAAACTCTGAGGTATTAGTATTCTTTGCTAACTAAAAAAAAAAAAGGAAGAAGAAAAACAGAGAAGTTAAGCAACTTACAATATAAGGGGCTTGAAGACAGCCAGAATCCTAGCTCTCTGTTACTGTATGTGACCAGAGGTTTCTATTTCTAGGTTTACCAGGTTAACTGTATGTGACTGGGCAACTTAACATCTCAGAACCTCAGTTTCCTCATCTGTAAAATGGGGTTTAAGTGAGACACTTCATGTCAAGTGTTTAGTTCAAAACCTAAAATACAGTAAGCTTACTCAATAACTATTAATACTGGTCAAAGTCAAACAACTAGTTAAGAAAGTCACAAATCAAAATCAGGTCTGATTCCCAAGTCCATGCTTTTTCTACTACAAAATGCTATAGCTGCCAACAGACAGTTATTATCCACATAAGAATTCATTCCTGAAACATGACATAGATGGGAAACTGATGTTACCTAAACGGGATAATTATTAAGGGCTAACTAAACCAACAGAAGTATTTTAGTTCTAATATCTAATAAGCAGAACCAAGTAGAAAACTCATCAGAAGATACTGTTTAGACATTCAGATTTTGCTCTGACTACTATAAAATTATTCTCCTATGTAAAACTTACCTTATTTATCTCAAACCAATTGTAAATTAAAAATTTAATTACCAGAGGTACCCCAAATAAAGCTTCCTGGTTGGCTTGGACAAAGAAATCAGCCCTCCTACTACATAATTTGAACAACTTTATTTTAAAAATAAACTGCTACTTAATATTGTTATTTATTTATAACTGTACTACTTATAAATTGAGACAACCAGTGTCATCACTTTTCCTACCCAATCCCCTGACCCCACACAAGCTTTGTTGTAACAATGTTAAAAACCTCACTTAATCTAAAGGTGGATAATGCAAAACCAAGGGCAGTAGCAAAAGTAAATTTCCATAATAATTATTAATAGGCTTACTATTTCAACCAGCTACACCAGTCAGGGCTCAATAGGTTTACTATTTCAAACAACTTCCAGGAACAGATTTGCCCTTAAAAAGGGTTGCTAAACCAGAATGGGATGCCTGCATACATTTATTTTGGCAACTGTAGCGTATTCAGCAAGACAACAAGCTTCCTGAGAAAAGGATGCCACTTATATTCCAGTGAAACAAAATTAATACATGTGCCTTGGTAAATGGGCTGCATTCTAACCAAGGGTAGAACATTTTAACTATGTAATCACGTTTCAAAAGACAATCAAATCAGAACACCTTCACTTTAGCAACAAAGCTTTTAGAAGATAGTATTCATTTTGCAATAATATTTAACGTTTCTGCATTTCAAAATTCTAACTTCTGACTCATAGATCTAAAATAGTCATTACATACACAAATGTTCTACTCATTTAGTTCAGAAACATGTGTAGGAAACATTGGTTTCTGTTTCTAGGTTTACGACTCCATACCCATTCATTTTTCACTAATATAACCACTAAATATAGCTCTAAGACACGATGATTAAAAGTAGTTAATTATGTGAGTGATTCATACCTCCTATGTCCAGACACCAAGATCCACAGATGTTTCTGTCAGAGCTATGGGAAGAGGAAACAATAAACACCTGTCACAAAAGCTTTACAAACCGGGAAGCCACTGTCAATTCCCAATCCGATTCATTGGTCAGCACCCCCCACTCCTCCAAAAGAGATCTAGAGCCTAACTTTGTGAAGGGAATGGGGAGAAGGAAAGGCTATAGAGTAGCCACCTAAGTACTGGTGGAAAGGGCCCTGGTTTTTCTAATCCTCACTGTGAGAGTCAAAGCGATAGTCAAAAGTCATTTTTTTCCTCTCTGGGCCTCACTTGGCTTACCTGGAAAATGCGGTGATTAGCAAGGAGCTTTACTATTTACTACCCCGTGGCTAAGGGCCAACTCAAGATCCCTTCAGTCAGCGCCCGCATACCCCGACCCGGTGTCCTGCCAGTCCCCCTACCTTCGGCCACACCGTCTCCCGGACTTCCGAAAAGGGCTGGAGCACCACCCCACTCCCGTGCCCAGCACGGACTCGCCCTCCCCGCGAGCGGCGCGTCCAGACCAGGCCTCCACATCCACAACGTGGATCCCTCCTCCCCTCACCTGTCCCAGGCAGGCGTTCCGCCGTCTTAGAGATCTCCTCCCGACTCCACACCCACCTTCCCCGAGAAGTGATGCCCAATTCCGGCCCGAGGACGCTGACCACAAGCTCACCTGGTACCCGCCGCCCCCGACAATACCATTCGCCTCCTCCAACCTCCCCATCACCACCACCCGCCCGCTCCGCGC